TGATTGATTGATTGATTGATTGATTGATTGATATTTCAAATTTGGACACTGCCCATCTCACAAGGAAGATAACCCCAAAATGGTAGTGGGTAGAAATGACCGGCTGTCCTGGAGCTGAGAATTAAGAATGTGGAAGGTCATCCCGAGCTCAGTGTAGTGTGCCTGGATTTCATGGGATACTCCTTCTCAGTTCCTCCAAGTGGCTGTTTCTGGATTTTTTTCATTTGAAATAATCATCCCTGTGCTTTATCTAATCTGTAAAAGGGTCTTTCAGACCAAAATAGCAGAGAGAAGGTATTCCATTCATACCCAAATTTTCCTGTTTTTGTCCCCAGATGGCCCAGATACACCTGAAATCCAGCCAACTGAACGATACTATGAAGAACACAGCAAGGTTCTGCTGTCCTGCACCGCTGATTCCTGTCCCCAGCCTCAGTATGTTTGGTTTCATAATGGAAAGCGATTAGATACCGGGCCAAAATTATTCATTGTAGATTTCACAAAGGACAAAACGGGGAGCTATATCTGCCAGGCTGAAAATGAACTCCTTCGCAAGAAAAGAAATAGCAGCAGTTTGGAAATTTACTTAGAGAAAAGTGAGTAACCAGAGTGTGGTACAAGGTTGTTATCTATTGCCACTGCTCCAGCCAGCCATTTGTGGCTGGGACCCCTTTCCCAAGCATTGCCCCCACCATCACCAATGGCTGGGCTGCCTTTCACTGCAAGCTGTCTGAGAGACTTCTCAGCAGAGTTTTGTTTCTCGGGATGTTTTTGTACTTGCTTATTGAGTTCATGTCCTGGTGACCTAAGATCCCTTGGACAATTCATAGGACGCATGTGGCCTTGAAGTCACTCCTGTCAAATCCTCCAACACACAAACATATACACAAGCCAATCTTTCAGTGAACTGGGAGAACTGTGGGCAATTGAGCTCCTTGAGAAAGGAAAGAGGTAGGAAGATGCCAGCTGTTATTCCACAAGGATAGGGAGAAGGTTGCCCATTTGGGCTTAGCATGTAAGAACTGCCAGATCAAAACTAAGTTCTGTGGGTTGAGCAATGAGATGGACAACCAAACTGAAGAATCAAGCAGCAGTTGAGTCCCTGTTAGCTTCTAGTCACCAATATTCCCATGTTATGGCCATTAGTCCTATCCTCTTCTGCAATTTGCTTTTAATTTGTCACTCAAGGCCTCACTCTCCTGATGAGACCTGCAGCAGTATCTGCCTTTTTTCTCTCACTGCAGGTCGTGTAAGCCAGGTCACCATCACTGGTCCATCAAAGGCCATAGAGAACAAGTTGATCTCCTTGCGCTGCACATCGAGAGGTGAAAATGTTTCTTATTCTTGGACCAAAGGAAGCCAGGTGGTGCATTCAGGTGGCCGCATCTCTTTGATAAACAACAACCAGACCCTGAGGTTCAACCCATGTCACCGAAGTGATGCTGCTGACTATACATGCCATGCTTCCAACAGCATCTCTTCTGATAAGAGTAACCCCTATCGCTTAGATATCATCTGTAAGTCTGATCTTCTTATCTTGAGTCATGGCATGCAACCAGTGATCAATAAGCTCAATTTTTGCTTTTTTACTCAGTCTGCCTTGCATTTCTGTTAAGAGTTGGGAAATGTTTCATTTGTTACTTAACCTTAACCTTTCATTCTATTTAAGTTCTCAGTGGCTTACCATTGCATGAACTTAGCCCATTTGGTTAGTTTATGATACAATTTTCAGTGTAGGACCCAGAAACTGGGTTAATTCTGTTTTTTCTTCCGTTGGCCTCCTAGTCAGTCTAGTTGCTGACTAAGGCAGTCCTTTCAACTGACAAGTTAAATAAAATGAAATGGAACAGTTTTTCGTTGTGGTGCCTCAGAAGATTGCAAGGATGTTTTTTAGAAGAATGTTCTTCTGCTTAAAAATAATCATACACATGCATGTTTGTCCCAGATGGACCTGACCCTCCTATTATCAATGAGACTATTGACGTCCCTCAAGAACAACTCAAGCTCACTTGCAATGCTGCTGCCTTTCCTCCTGGATTTTATACCTGGTTTTACAATGGGATGGAACTGGCTGACAAGATCCTCTTTCAGAAAATCAGCCAAGAGAATTCTGGAAACTATACTTGCCGTGTGATCAATCCGGTCTCTTTCCTGAAGAGAAATACCACCTTGGAGATTGACATGATAAGTGAGTAGACAGAGCAGGAAGCTCCTGATCAGTCACCAGAAAGATTGACGAGTTCCTGCCTTGGGACTGAAGGTGTCCCCCCAAAAGGTGGAGACACATGGTCGCTGATACAGAGATGGCTCACACAGAAGGAAGATTGTTGCAACCCTTATAATCCTCGGGGTCTGTTTCTCTTTTTCTCTGTTTAGGAAAGTTCAAAAGCCGAAAACGGAAATGAGGAATGGAAACTCAATGAGGGTGCTGTAAGTATCAGTTTTACAGAAAATATTCAGAAATCATTCATTTGCCCTCGCTTCCCCAAGTGTTTTGATGTTCACAAGGTATCTGGGCAGGGCATCCAGGACCCATAGCAGGGGTGTCCACAGAGTAGGGTGAAAACAGTCAACATGGTGGCCATGACAGTGCAGTGGAAGCTCCACCAGGTTTTATCTGTGAAGTGTGTGCAGTGCACATAAAAAGCTGGTGGAGCTTTGTTGGGGCCACATTGTTGGGGCCACCATGACTTTTTATACCATATCCTGCAGACACCCCTGGTCCCCTGGGAGGAATCAGCTTTGCAACCATACTGTGTTTGTGTCAGAGGAGTTGTTTCTCTGTTGATCCTTTTTTTTCTTTTCTTTTCTTTTTTTTTGGAATTGCCAGTATTTGTACACTTAACTTTTCATGGAACACCCAGATGATGCTATCAAACCAAGGCGTTCCAGAGACTTCTGGACCATTTCACTGTGAGCTGGCCATTTCAGCATCCCCAGGGTGAACTGGCCAAGACTTGGTGGTTTTTGAAGAACCTTTAGTTAAACTTTCTGTTTGGAAATAATAACCATTTATTGCTTCTTGATCAGCAGTATGAAATACTTAACTGTCCACCTGTTCAGAATGGGTAACTTAATACAGAACTGATTTCTTTGTAATTTCTTTCTTATATAAGAAATGACACAACTTTACTACAAAAGAAAGGGGAGATGCCCCAGTATGCCTTGCTCATTTCAAGGTGCAACTTCTCCTCTTTTCCTTAATGGCAATGTTACTACAACTCAGGGAACATTTTTCAAAACCTCACCTGTATTTAAAACCATATTTCCAGCGGAGCGTTTTCCAACAGTGCCCTAAAATTTGGAACAAAGTTTGTGCCCTAACAGTCAGGTATTTTCTCTTTTAGGCTTCTATTCTCTGATTTCTGATGGAAAATATCAAAGCAGGAGAATGCAAGAACAGCAGCCTATTTGAGGCTTCATCTGCTTTGAAATTATTTTGATTTTTGAAATCTGTACCTCTCTAAAGCAGAGTCCTTGGGGGGGACTCATCCATACCAGTATTAAATACCCTAAGTAAATCTGTAAAACAAATCTTTATCACTATGTATTAAAATGACCGTCTTATTCTCAAGGCATAGGATTCTGATCTTCTCATTACATTTTAAAGATGCCTTGAATCACTAGTTGTTCTCTCTTCCACATATATCAGAAAAGAATGGCCTTGCTTTGTTTAAGTTCTTATGAAAATGGATCAATTTCAATAACTGCATATGATTTCTATTTTCCCCTCTGGAAAAAAATGTGTGCAGTTTATCAAATGCACTGAGAAGTATGGAAATTTGTAATCAATAAATTATTCCCTCTGACCTGTTGGCATTATGCTGTTTTTGTGGTTATTGTCACTGTCATTGACACCATACTGTTCTCGTGAATCTCTTGGTGTTGGGGGTCCATCGCGCACCCCTTCACATTAGCTAGGGCACATCCTATGAGCAATCTTCAGACAGGATCAGAAACATCCATAGATCTGGGGAGAGAGATTGTATTTTTCTGACACATTTTAAATAAGTTATATAAAAAGGAAAAAAGGATAGAAGAGTAAAGTAGAAATGATGAAACAAACTATGTAGAATCATGATCATCACAGTACATACAGAGTGTGATTATAAGGACCATACATTCAACCTCTATTACTAAAAGTCTATTTTGAAGCAGTTTCCATTGAGAAGAAATACACAATACAAAGAATAAAGTAACTAAACATAATACAGAAGAACATGGCAGAGGCCATTTAGGGAGCGAGAGCAAAAGTAAAGGACAGCAATCAAACACAGACTAGTCCTATAAAGAAAGCTGAATGCAGAGGAAGGTCTTTAAGAGCGCTGCAAAGATGGGGGGAGCAGCCCAGAATGAAAGTCTCCCCACCACCGCCCCGAGAAGATTTGCAAAGAAGTAATTGCAAATTGGCATTCTGTGCTCCCTAACCCACACGGGGACCTCATCCTGGCCATCTTGGATGTTGGCCACATCATCGACAGTATGACGATGTGTATTGGCCTTTTTTTTCCTTTTTTATTTGTAGTTTCGGCTTGCTTTAGTCTTCTCCAATACGGCCCCTTCATCTGCTGGGGCTGGAGGTTGCAGAATTATTATTTACTAAGACAAGGACAACCTG